GGTTGTTGGTTGTCGATAATAAGCTTTCTTTTTTTTTCTTTTAATTACTTTTTAATAGCAGTTCCTAGTTTCTCGTTTTAATTTACAATTGGTTTTAGTTTTTAGATATATATTTAATACAACTGCTTTACAAATAAGTTGTTGTTGTTTTTGTTTTTGTATTCTTGTATTTATAGCTGGTTTTGTACAGTTTTGTTTATGTTGCCTATTGAAACGTTTGCTTGTTGTTGCTTTGTATTGTGCTTGTGCTTTCTATGAATGCAAGTTTCAAGTTTCTCTCCTAGCAAGCTCCATTGCAGTTCGCTTAGATCAGACAGACCCGAACACCACCGAATCTAATATTGCCCCTTGGTTGGTCGGACCTTTGTCTTTTTCGAAGTGTTTTATTGTGGTTAGGCAATTGCGAGGCCTTAGGACGTTTTGGTCTGTATTTCAAGTAGCTGATTATTGTTTTAGCTCACTCTCTCTCTCTGTAATAGCTCTGCTACAAAGTTTCTGCATTGATTGGGGAAGTTTTTCGATTTCAATCCAAATTTATTGCATTTACCTCGATTTGTTTGATTCTTTTCTTTTCGTACTTTCTTGTTTAACGTCTAATACTAACAACAAAATTTATATCTACATATATGAATTATTGTAAATTGGTTTTAATAAAATTGTAATCACTAAAAGGAAGAAAGCAAAATTAAAATATGTTTTATGTATGCTCGCTCATATATATATATTTTTTTTTACTATAAACAAAGAAAAACTAAATAACGCTTAAAGCAATAAGAACCTATAAAGACAAACCATATAATATATATATGTATATGTATATGTATAAGTATATGTATTACAGTGCTTGCAAATTTTCTCCTTTCGCCTCGTAATTGACATATAAATATATAGCATAAAATGTTTATAATGTACCCCAATCGATTCGAATCGTTTAAGCTTCTTCAACAGCAACTATAAACATGTACAGCCATAAACCCATATATATATATATACATACATATGTGCTCATCAGCAAAAAATAAATCAACTGAACAGTATTTATAAATATTATGCATTTGAAATTTTGGGACAAAATTATAAAAATATATAAAGTTGAAAAAGCGCAACTTGCACTGCATTCGCCTGCTTCGCTAAGCTAGTTAATTGTATTGCATTTTCG